ATCCAAACAGGATGGGGGAAGAAGATACTACACGCAGTGCTTAAAGGAACACCTCTAACATCACGCTAAATATATTTAATCCAAAAAGGAGGGAAAAGGCATTCAATTTTGGAGGTGGGCAATTTCTGTCCCTTTATTGCCGGAGGCATGTTAAAACTTTGGGAAGAGGCATTTGTGCAAAGAGGAGGACCGTTAATCAAATCACAGTTGAGTATTACCAACCAGATAACCTGCCGTTAAAATCTCCCGAGGCTAATGAGCGCTCCTCTCCCTGCCGTCCCTGGGCAGTGTGTGGAGCAGATGAATTGGGGCTATGATGGCTCAGCCTCATTCAAAGACCGGCATGAACTGCATGCATCAGCAGCACCAAGGGAACCCGTGGAAGTGAAATGCTGAATGAATGCATTAACTGGAAACTCCCGAGACACCCCGAACTGATTCCCTTCAGGCTTGACACTCAGAACACACATGTCACGTGAACTACCTTGAGAACACATCATCTGTGCCCCTTTGTAGCAAAAGAGACAGAGGCGGGAAGGCACATGCACTTAAGTAAACATAATAAATCTGCTCTTTTAAGTTATTCACTATGTGAAATCATGCCTAGATTAAGCAGCTGGCTTGTGGCAGTCATTTCACAATATATAGATGGATCTAAACATCACATTGTACACGGTGAATATATTACAAGTTTTCCAGTTCTGCCTTTTAAATGCTGAACAATTTGAAATTAACTGTAATTTACAACCTCATTTAAAAAATTCAAATAGTTAAACAAAGTTTCAGAAAGCTCCCAGTAGGGGACTGAGGATGTAACACACGAGCAAGTCTTGCCCAGCACTTCCTTGTTTTTTACTATTTTCTCATTTTCCATACGTATTTGAAGGTATAGAATGTGTAGAGTGTAAGAGTTCTCCTTTTGGGAGAGCTATATTCCAAGACCCCAAGTTGCTACCTAAAACAAATGATAGTACTGAACCCTACATACATAGTCACCCCTCTATACCCAAGGAGTCGACCCAATACAATTCAGAAACACAAGTAGGAAAAGGCTGGGGATGTAGGTCTGTGGAAGAACACACGCTTCCTGAATTTGACCTTGGATGGGACAAGGAAAAGAAAGGAAGTGCTGGTCAGTGGTAGAATACTTGCCTAGTATGTGTGAGGCCCAACACTGAAAAGAAAAAAAGCAGTGGGGGAGCCGGCCATGGTGGTATACACTTTAATCCCAGCATTCTGGAGGCAAAGGCAGAATCTCTGTGAGTTCAAGGCCAGCTTGGTCTACATAGTGTGTTCCAGGCCAACCAAGGCTCTACAGTGAGACCCTAGAGAGGAGAAATAAATATGGGGGGCTACATTGTGCTGAATATATACAGATATTTTTCTTGTAATGACACCCTAAATAATATAAGAATTGCTTGTACTACAATAAGTATTATAAATAATGTTGAGATGATTTAAACTACACGAGAGGATTGTATAGGTTATATACATATACTGTGTGATATTTTTATAAAGGGGGATTCTAGAACTAATTACTCTTTCATACCAAAGGATGCCTGTTCTGTTGTTTCCTGAACATAAACAACTATTATCAACTTTAGTTTAGAAATTAGACATGGTAAGACATCAATAATAGCATAATAAAACAATTATAAATGTATACTATAATAAAAGTTATGTGAACTCTTCCCTCACTCATAAGTAATCTGATCATTTAGGCAACTTAGAAGTCACTAGCATGCAGATAGCGTATACAATATAGACATTCTGAACAAAGATAATTTACATCCTAGACATGGTGGAGTGGGATGGTACAGATTTTATCACACTGTTTGGAACAACAGACAATCTCAAACTCGTGAATTGTTTCTGTAGTTTTTCACTTCGTGTTTGCAGGCTGTAGCTGTTTCCCAGCCACTGACTCTATAGAAGGTAGCGCGGGAGACAAGTGGGGAAAGGGTTATGATAATGGATATACAAACCCATTTTTATCACAAGTAGAGCCACACTGGACATTCTTTTTTTTTTTTTTGTAGTTTTTGAATGAGTGCGTTTATTAAGTATACGATGGTCCAAAGTCAAAGAATAAGGAGTGATAGAGAGACAGTAATACATGGTGGAATGAGGCTCTAGCAGAAACCCACTGAGGGAGCCCCTGACTGAGAGGTCTGGACAGAACAGAGCGTCCCTCCAGCGAGGCTTCCGAGTGAATGAGTAAGAGCAGAGAGGTAGCATCATCAACTGGGGCTTCCATATTTAGCAGAAATTAATGGGGGAAGCCCCTTTAAGGCTGTTAGCTTGCATTTCCGATTGAGAAGTCCAGGCAGGGCAGAGTTTCTTCATGTGAGGTTTCCTCATAAAACAACAAATAGCAGCAGATAGAGACATCTTCGAGTCAGTGATTCCCAGCATCCAGCAGACGTGGGCTAAGGAAATCGAGATGAGCAGCTGGAGTTCCTATTGCGTGTTCCCTCCGAGGATGAATTGAGGTTTCTCTTTCATGTTGTAGGCACTTTTACATTACCGGGCAAACTATGGTAACATTTGTCGAAAGTAGTTTACCTTTTAGCTGTTCCCAAAGCTTTTATGGTTTTACCTGGACTTCTTTGCTGATACCTTCCCTCGCCACCAAAGAATTAGTCTATCCCCAGACCTTGGAAGACATTTTGAGACAAACTTGGATCAGAAATGGGAGGGAGAAGGCAACCTTCCATCCAGAGCCAATTTCTCAGTGATTTACCAATATAACGTACATTATACCATGAAAGAAGTACTATTTTATATCTAAGGGATCAGACTTCAATCACCTTGAAAGCTGTGACCTTCCTCCCCAGTAAGTAACTCAAGGTGGCTCTGTGATTCCAGACAGGGATTACTTCTGAAAGAGTTGACAAGAATGGTAGTGGAGGGGAGGACAGTATTGACTCTCTGAATCACATCCCATAGACTGCTCACTGTATGGGATGCCATAGACTGCTCACTGTATGGGATGCCATAGACTGCTCACTGTATGGGATGCCATAGACTGCTCACTGTATGGGATGCCATCACATGATCTGGATTCACTTCCTTATTCTATTTAATAACTGAGGGGAGTAAAATTTTCCCTTCCTCAATCTCGGGTTCTCTTCCTTTCAGTTCATGTAGAAATAGCCATCGTTTCCCAATGCTTTTGCTTCGTGTGCAAGCCTCATTTCTAAGATGCACCCGTGAACATACGGTGGCTGGTACTGGTACTGAGTTTATTCCTGTTTGATAAAGAGTCCACGAAGGCGGTTGGCATGGGATAGCTTGGTGATCTGGCCAGTCAGTGGTTGCCTTTTCCTTTCAGCTGCAAAGCTTCTAGGAGCAGAGTATATGTTTACGATACACATGCACATAGGCACATACACATACATACACACACATGCATGCACACACAACACACACATGTGCATCCACGCACACATTCTCTACTGGGCAGGAATATACTCGGTACTGTAAAGTGCTCTACAAAAGTATAACGACACTAAATCAGCACACAGGACTGTTCCGTGAAGCATTATTTATGTAAGCAAAGCTTTTACAAGCGTTTCAGTTGTTTATTAGTAACGGATTGGACAAATAAATTATGACCCATACAGTCATGCTGAGCAAGAATAACAAAGCAGTTTAGTATGTTCTGAAATGGAATATGTTCAAGATATAGATATTGGGACAAAACTGATGCAAATCAGGATAAATAACAGGAGGATTCCAATTTGGGTTAAAATTATGTCTTAGTGGATGAATTTGAAATGTCTCCATGTATGTTTATCATGATTCTCTTTAGAAAGACAAGGTTATGGGAAAATCTTTATTTATTTTTTGTCTGTACTGTTTGAATTGTTACAATGACTATGATTATTTTGCAATTAAAAATGTCATTTCAAAGTATAAATTTAGGGACTAGAGAGATGGCTCAGAAATTAAGAGCGTGTGCTGTTCTTGTAGAGGACCAGAATTCAATTCCCAGTAACCACAGGGTGTGTCTCACAACCACCCATAACTGCAGTTCTTGGGAATCTAGTGCCCTCTGTTGACACTGGAGCTGGCTAACCTGCAAGCACACACACATACCTACACACGGGTATACAGAGACTTCAAAAGAAATCTTTTCTAATTACAGCTTTACCCTTAACCTCCTTACTCAATGGCGTTTGGGAGAAAGTTGCTTACGAGTGGACAAAAGGCCTCTAAGTCTCCAGGAGAAAGTGGAAAGGGCTTGACCTTTTCTTCCTTTGTAGCAGTGTTCTGGTTTTTGCAGATGAAGGAAGAGGAAACAATTGCAGTGGACTCTGTTTCTTAGCTTTGACTTTTTTTTATTCTAATGCAAAATAAATAATGACAATATGTAGTGATCTGGAACCATTGGGCACAGCAAAATGTCTATCTTCAGTGGGGCTCGCTGTCCTGGTTGAAGTTGGAAGCGCCTGGCATTGGGGATAAGCTGCCGAATGAGTGGTCTTGGATTGCCAATCTTTGCTCGCTCTGCTGACCATTTCTGTAGAGACCTAACTACTCCAGCGCTGAAATGAAGCCTGTGACTTGCCACGCTGGAGCATGTCAACAGGCCTTCCCCTGACCTTCTCTTCTGGGGGAGAACATGGAGGCAAGCTGCCAGGCAGAATGTGTGCTGCATCTGGTTGAGAAAGCTCCCCGAACAGAAACTCAGCTCCTCTGAGGCCCACAGGAAATTGTGAGAGGAGGGGTCTGAGGTGAAGGCAGAGGTAGAGAACGTGGGAGGGTCTTTCTCCTTCAAGTGAGCGGGAAGCACATGCAGAATTAGGCCTTTATGTTGTTTTCACTGACTGTGACCTTGAGCCTCCCCTAGCACAGTTCCTCCTATTCTGTCACCTCATGTCCTAAAAAGCTGGAGAGAATTTTTGTCAGCTATACTGTTGGTACCCAGTGAAGTCAGTGCTCTCTTTGAGTGGGATTTTCTTTGACAAGCATTCTCTTTCCCTTCCTCTCTACAGATACAGCCAGAAGGCGGCCAGGAACGGGATGAAGAATCAGTTTAACCTCCATGAGCTGAAACTGAAGGGGCCTGAGCCGGTGGTTAGTCAGATCATTGACAAACTGAAGCACATTAACCAGGTATGTAGTGTGTCCAACAGAAATGGAAACGCACCAGAAACCAACAGCAGGGAGATGCTTTGCCCTGCTGAAACAAAGGCTAGGCCATTTGGATAAGCAGTGATTATTCGTTTTCTTCAATGATTTTCCTCTGGCCCTCATCTTTCACTCCATTTTTAAATGATTATGACATTGCAGTATGAGAGAAATTGTAATTGTATGGCCTCTATGCCTGAATTCGTAAAATAATTTTTTAAATGATACTCAACTAATAGCAAATTCTCCTGGTCCTCTTAGTCATTGGCTGTGGCTCTGTAGGAGTCTGTTGTCCAATCATCGTTACTGATAGGGATTCTCATTGATTACAGTTTCATTCCATCATCATGCTGTCTCTTTATCCATTGAGCTATCTCTTGATCGTAGATTGCTTTCTAAAAGACTGTGCTGTTGGGTTAAGAGATGAGTGTAGCTCAATGGCTAGCTCCAAATCGCTTTCTAGGGAGAGAGTGTCAGCTTGCACTGCCGCCAGCAAGATATGAGAGGTCCTGTGTCTCTCTCTGCTCCTTTGCCAAATTCTGACTCGCTCCTCTCATTTTCTTGACCTGTACACATAGTTTTTTCCTCTTGTGAGTAGTTTAGCAACAAGACACAAATAGAAGTTAGCTATACCATCTGCTTGTGATTGCTTTGTGGCTGCATTTTTTTTTTTTCAAAAAGCCACCAGAAAGGCCACCGTATGCCACAGTGACAGTGTTCCTATGCCATGCTATGCTTCATGAATGGGAGGGCCCAGACACTTGGCTACAATTTGTTGCTTGGGGAAAATTTCGTGTAACTAAAATGTTTGTGCATTGACAGACGTTTCTGCGTGAAGACACTGGCCTGATTGTATTTTTGGTGTGAAAGTGAGTGAATTTTTGACATTCTGGAAAATAAAAACTGTTTGCAAGGGCTTTCTAACAGTAGCGCATGTCACTTGGATTGCATCTTGAAAGTCCTGACAGCACACTCGGGTGGAACTCCTCTAGAGCCTCCTAAAGTATTTGAGCTCAGTGAGCACTTAATAAATGCTTGTTACTGCTGCCGAGCACATGGCCAGAGCAGAGTGATTACTTACAAATGTGTCTCCACGGGTACCATGGCAAAGCCTAGGAGCAGTGGTGGTATTGATTTTCGAACTATTTATACGGATCCCAACTCACAGTGTCTGGGTGAGAATGCTCAGTCGTTAGATTCCTGCATTAGAAGAGCAAAATTTCAGGGCCCATCACTGTGCCTCTAACCCGGAGTCAGTGGACTTTAAAGAATACCTCATGTGTAATCCTGGGTCCTAGAGACTTCTGAGATGGAAAGAAATCTTACTACTCCGATTTTTACAGCCTCTCTGGGAAGGGAGCCCAAGTAGAAATATCTCAGGAAAGATAGTGTGATGAAGAGCCTGGAGAGATGCTGCTCATTAGTTTGGGGTGACATGGGGTGAGCTAGGCTAGGGAGAGGAGTCCTGGGAGGAGCTAATGTTAAGACCTGCTTCCATGGACCATCAGTAAGGTTGGAATAAGTAAGGAGAAGTAGACCAGACAAAGACCAGTGGACAGAATCTGCCTGCAAAGGGAAAAAGTTGAAGAGATACAGGCTTCCAGGTGGTCTAGCAGTCACCAGCGGTATTTACAGCACAGTTAAAGAATATGGACTTACATATGCACATGGGTCTAAAGTTAGTTGTGGATCTTACCCTATATGTAGGGTAATGTAATACACACACATATATATCCACATATATATATATATATAATACTCATACAAAATTATACATAACTATATATAATACATTGTTATATATAATATATTATATTATATAGTTATATGTGCATATATAATTTTGTAATGCATAGCCTTAAGCAAATTAGTGCTTTCATTCTCCCTTCAGTAGTACTCCATAGCTATCTAAAGTGTATGTGTGTGTGCATACTATAACACACATAAATACACATGCACATATGCACATATATAATTGTATGTGTATGCCAGGCCCTTATTAAATGGTAATTGTGGAGATGCTGTTCAGGCTTTTCCCCATAGGTGGGACTTAACTTTGAAAGGGAGCTTCAGTACTCTGGCCACTGAGTTTTATGGGAGGGCAGATTCCTTTGTTACTTCTCTTGTCTCCTATTTTTTTCCTTTCATTTAACTTTAGGTCAGAAAAGCACAAACTAATTTGTAGGGAGGTAGAGGTGAGCAGAAAGAGCAAATTTACCATCAGCATTCCTTTCTTTCCCCCTCTACTCATAAATTAGTGTGTGAACATCTTCAGCTTCTACACAAATGCATTGAGCAATCGATTGTCATTGGCAGACCAGTTTTACCTGTTAGCGTGGTCTGGCAATTGATTGTCATTGGCAGACCAGTTTTACCTGTTAGCGTGGTCTGGCGATTGATTGTCATTGGCAGAACAGTTTTACCTGTTAGCGTGGTCCGGCTCCAGACACCCACAGCGACTTTCTCTCATGCCCACCTGTGATGCTTTCCATGCACAAAACACATCTTTTCAAACAGATAAAACTCACCTTTTCGCCATTGTTTGATGTGAAAGTGAGAGCCTTTGGGTAAATGACAAAGGACAAAGTTTTGAGTATGCTGCTAATACTAATAATGTGTTTGATTTCTATAGCACAGAACCTTATTTCAGTCATTGCACATTCTCCAGACTAGTTGTTTAGGGGAGACTCCAACCTGGAACCACGTAAGATGCACTCTCACAGAACGATTCTTTTCAAGAATTCACTATCCTTAAACATTTCATCATCCTCACCAAGTAATTAATGTTTATCCCTTTTTATTGCTAGAGAAACTGAGGCAGGGAGCCATTAGAGGCTATGCAGGCATGCTGCCAAAACATCTAGTGAGTCTAGTTGAAAATTCAATCAATTATCCAGATGTTGTTTCTTATATACTGCCAAACATCTGGATTCACTGAATGCCTGACTAAATTGGCCTAAACTTTTGGCAGTGGGGAGGTGGAATCAAGTGAACTTGCCTGTATTCACATGTGAGTGGCGAATCCAGGTAATGTTACTTTCCATAATACTTGTCTATAAATACAGACATATCTTCCTATCTGTGCTTGTGTGTATGTCCTGTGGAACTAGACCGTTTATGAGCATAACCCCAAATAACTCAAATTTCTCCCACAGAAATTCTCAGCTGCCTTCTTTTAGGTTTCTGTTGATAGCACTTGAAATACTATACTCACTAAGGGGAATAAAATAACATTATTTCTACATTGACAGTCCCACAGTGTAACCTTGAGGGGATGGGTCCAGGGTCAGTCCCGAGCCCATTTCCTGGGAAGATGTGCAGGTGTGTAGTATATTCCCTCCTTCTAAGCTACAGTTCATACGTAGCATTCCCACAATGGAGAATGAAGTCCTTTTTATTCCTTTTTCAGTTTCTAATTTGTGTGAGGATTTACTGTTTTGTGTTAGGAGAGAAACGGAACCCTCCTTGGTTCTCAGTGTTGGTTCTGGAATTTACTAGACCGTATTGCTTTTTTATTTTTTTTATTTTTTTTTTTCGGATTGCTTTTTTAAAAAAATAAAAAACTACCTTTTGTTTCTGTTTGTGTCCATCTGCTCTAGGCTCCTATGTCTAGAGAAGGCTCCACCAGTACCAAAGAATGGTCATAATACCTACCTAACCAGATGATGCTGTGGGTCACTTAGCCGCTAACTTAGTTTTGTTGGTAGCGTTTTTGAAGTTTAAGTATATTTACTAGTTAGAGCTAATTTTGCTGTTCCTAAACTACCATAGACATTATTGTCCCCAAGGAAAAACTAATTATTTATCATGTTCCCCATTTCAGTAAAGGTTCAAGTAAAATTCCAGAAATTGTTTTCCTGCCTGTTGTAAAGAGCTGAGGCCAGAACAGTCAATATCTGCCCATTTAGTGTCAAGAGCTTAGCATTCAAAATAGGATAAAGTCTCATCTGTTTAGGATGGCTGAACTGTCCTGCTGAATGGCGGGGGAGTGGACGAGATGGCCTCTTAAGAGTCTGTCCAGCCATGTGATTCTGTGATTTGTGACTCAAGGTCAGGCTGTAACCCAACACCCTCTTGTGACTTGATTCTCTGCCCTGCAGTCTTTTTAAAACACCCTGTTCCCCGGTCACCCCTTTCCACTTCGCAACCTCTCATCTTGGCAGAGGTTGTCCCCTTCCCACCAGCCTTCCAACCCAGGCAGAAGGAACTTCAACTTGCCCTTCCCCCTAGCAAGTTGTCTGTTCTTCCTTCTTTTCATCCAGCTATAAAACATTAAATGGTAAAAAAAAAAAAAAAAAAAAAAAAACCATTTGGGCATTTATCACTCCTACTATGTATCCATTCCCCAGGGCCAGATATTTGACCTGTCTTTGGATCATGCTAACCATGAAACTCTAGCTAAATGATAATTCAGCCATACATTGGCGCAGCACGAGTCAGTTTGTAGATGCTCTCCCGTGAACATTAGATAAACCAATAACATTGGCTCTAGGAAGAAAGCAAGATGGGTAGTGTTACTCAAGTTTACCGGAAGAAGAAATTGTAATGTCATGAGACACAAACTCAAATTGTAATGTAATGAGAGCCAAACTCCAAGGCTACTGGTTCCATTCTCTGCATTTTCCTTCCATTTCTCTTATGAAGAGAAGAGAACAAGAAGGTATTGTTAGGATCCATATATAAAGGATATATAGGATTACACATATCAGAAGTACCTTAATTTGGATATAACAGTTTTCAAGGTCCAAATATAGTCATTTCTATAGTTTAAGGCTTTCAAGTCTTCAACAAAGAAAGACTAAGAATCTTTTTCAGAATCCAAATTGGGACAATAATTAGGAAACCGCCTACCAAATTTATGATGTACAAATAAAGGTGCTTTGTACCATGTGTTTGAGTTAATTTTTAATGAGCTATCTCAAATTCATAGACAAGGTTAAATGCCCAAAGAAAAATGTAAAAATGCACAGTACATAGTGAAATAT